GGTGGGCGCCGTGGGAGATACAGGTGTTACCTTGGGTGCGAGCCCCTCCCGGCCCGGCCCGGGGTGCCGCCGTCATGGCACACTGCGAAGCCGGCTGTTTGCGGCTCTTCTTGTGTACTTGTAACGGTGATTTGGTTGTTACTAAAACCGAGAGCGAATAGTGACTGTGACCACTGATGAAGAACCTTTTTTTTTTGCCCTGCGTACATCAGTGGTTCTCAGTAACCACCCCAACTCTGAGGGTCAGACTTCTAGTCGTTGAGAGCACGCTGTCTTTCGGAGGGGGATCATAGTGGGGAAAGTCTGAGAGCATCTCTCAGAAGATAACTTTGGTTACCTTGCGTGCGGAAGAGCTGTGTAAATAAAAACCCAGTGCGCAGACGACTGAGTTTCCCTCCTTGCTTTAGGCAGTCAGTCTTCCCCTGAAAGTTTCTTGTGCCCTAGGGATGGGAACATTTCCTAATCGCGTTGGCAGCAACGTACACGATTCCCCTAGGATTTAGGGGTGGCAGGCCTTGATGTAGCAAAACAAAACAAAATAGATGGAGAAATGCTGTTTTTTCTTCCAGAGAGATGTGCAGAGGAGCTACATTCAGGAGCTTGTTGTGACAAGGAGTGTATAAAAGACCCAGGATTATAGTCTAGTTAAGACATAGCAGTTACTGGAATTGAAGTTTTGAAATACAGGCTAATTTGTGTGCATTAATATCATTTGGTTGTAGTATACCTGATTAAAACATCGGAAGGAGGTTGTTTTAATGATTACAGAATATTTGGATATCACATTGCTGGGGGGCAATGGAATTGAAATGCATTGAGGCATAATCTTATTTATTTTGGGGGTAATTTAACTTAAGAATCACAGTAATTTTGGATTTTAACTGAACCCCCAGGAATGGGTGAACTTTGGCAGAATCTAATCTGTATTCTGATGATTTTGTAAAAAAAATAAATAAATTAGTTTCTGAGATAATAAGTTGGGTTTGATGAGTCTCTGGTCCTTCATAGTTCCTATTCTGTGATTCAGTCACAGAAACAAATGATTGCCACTTTTGCTGTCAAATCTACCAAACTGAGCACAAAGTAACGTCTGCTCTTATGAGCAAAGTAATGAGGGTTCTGCTAGATGGTGCTATTTGATTTAAATATATTTCTTCCATTCATTACAATTGGCAGCATAAATTCTTGACTGGCTTGCCTTATGAACTAAATATAGGTGAAGAGGCCACTTTTGGAGAATTGAACAATGACTGTTCAGGGTTAATTGTTACATTAATTTCTGGCTGAATGCTGTTTGAATCTAAGATAAACATGGAGGTAGATTTTACAAAATAAACTTAGTTTCATTTTAGTAGGAGGATCTCTTTGGTTGTTCAGTTTTTTTTCCTTTATGTTTACTTGGGACTTTAATGACACTATTACACCAGAGTCTATTAACTTCTGAAGATTGAAATCTTGTAGTTGTCCTTAAAATGGATGTCTCCAGACTTTGGTTTTTAATTTTTAAGGTAGAGATTTAAAAAGATATCTTAGTGAAGATTTTTCCTTTAGTAAGCCAATTAAGAATTGTTCTGATCTTAAAAAAAATAAATGATTTCTTAGTAATGCATAAATGATATGTACTTGAACAGAAACATTCTGAAAAACTAACCATTATTATAAATAATGCCATGATATGAAATTAACATTGATTTTATAATCTATCAAGAAATGTGTTTTCTCTTTTTTTTTTTTTTTTTTAAGCAATGTGTTTTCTAACATGAGTTCATGGTGGATAGATAATACTGGAACTTATTTTGTAGATTTTACACTATTTCTATAATTTCATTTTATAATTCTGAACATAAAAATGGCTACTGTCAGGTTAATTACTTATTTCGTTGTTTTAAAAAATAGATCAAGTCTATTCAAAGATTTGGATTGGTTTAATTATAGAGAGAGTGATTGAAAATCTTTGGAGGGAGGTGGGATGTTTGTGTAGAAATTTAAATTCTGATCCTGTTAGGTCATTTCCCTCTTTGGCAGACTTTCGTTAAACTAATCACAATTGTAATTAACTAACTGTGTAATTAATTCTTTAATAATGTCTGGCTTTCTCTAAAATGTAAGTTTCTTGAGGGTAGGTGTTAATACTTTTAATGTTCTCTCTGAGGCACCCTTGACATTAAGGACAGTGCCTTCTAGTATTGAAACCAAATAAATTATTGGTGATGAAGCTGTTAGACTCAAAGGAATTTTTTCCATGTGAAAAAGTTTTTTTCCCCCCATTGGCCTCCAAAGTAAGGACTTGTAAGTTTGAGTTGTACATTTTCTAGCTTAAGTTCTATTTCAGATACCTCAAAATCAACAAGACAAAGGCATCTTATTTATTTACCATCCCATGTACCAGTCACTGTGTTCAGTGCTTTATATATATTTCTTCTAGTTTCCCCAACACATTTGTAAGATAGGTGTTTTTCTCCCCTCCATTAAAAACTCAAAAAATAAAACAACCCACAAAACAAAAAACTAAGACCCTGAGTAGTTAAATAACTCACCAAGGAATACACTTCTAGAAGATAGGAAACGTCGATTTCCAACATAGATTTATCTAGCTGTAGAACTTGTGGTTGAAGCTGAAAGACGAATTTTCAGTATACCAGATTGCCTTCCTCATCAAGGGTAGGATGCTACAGATTTAGGGAACAGCATTACATAATGAGATATAACAGACTTTAAAGATTTGATCAGATACGCAGTCTTAACCATTGGTGCACCCTTACGATTATGCCCTCCATTTTTAGCATCAGCAGATATGCGTGTGGTGTGGGGGAAGGCATAGAAATTTTAGAAGTAAAAGATGGAAGCCTAAGATAATAAAGAATCCCTGTTTCTTCAGATTTTTAAACCAGGAATTTTGTTTGATCACTTCAGTTTTGAAAATAAATATAGCAGTCGTGAACAATTCCTGTTTGAAATATTGCTGAGTTTTAAGCCACATGGTATGTCACATACTACCTCAGGGAGAGGTATAGAGGTATACAACTGTGTGTAGGTGAGTAGTGATATTAGGTTTTTTTTTTAATTTTTTTTTTTTTTACTTATTTGTTCCTTTAACATGACATAATAGCACAGAAGCGCTGATCTGTTAGAAAGCAAAGTTGGACATAAGATACACCTTGTAGACAGTTGACATATATTAAGTAAACTAGTCAGAAGCTATAGAAATCTAACTGTGCATCTAACCTTGGGCTCTGGAGCGTAATTTTGGCTTTCCAATTTTGAATCTTTTAGTTGGATATGCCAAGAAGCAAATAGTATATGCCTATGTTTAAGTGGTTACAATTTAATGAACATTTAAATGCTACATATAAGATTGTTTATGGAGTTAGTACTGTCAGTATCACTTTTTTCACTCCCCCCTTTTATCATTAAAGCATCTCCCTCCAAAAAAGAAAAATTACCAGTCTTCCTTCCTGAAGGGAATAAGGCAAGGGAAATAATGCAAAGATCCAGAAACCAGTTTGATGGGTAATTCATGCAACTCAAGGTTTCTAAAATTAATGTAGTATCTTTATGGAAATGACATTTTTTGTAAGATAGTACATTGATCCTCCCTCTCCCAGTCTCTAGGATTTACCCCCAAAATACTGAACACTATTCTTTTTTGGGGGGGGGAGAGGTCTTTTTTTTGTTTGTTTTTGCTATAGGACGCGTGTGCTCGCCAGATAGACAGAGACAGAGAGACAGAAAGTGAGAAATCACCCCCCCGGGGGGATTGCCATGCTGCAATCTCTTCTCCTCCATTCTCCTCTCGGAATCTTGGGCACGCACGCACAAGCACCCGGTGTGAGTTTTGTTATTTTAAGCCACTTGGTCCGGGACTCGAACCACGGTTGACTACATGGGACATGGGAGTCCAGCAACATAGCCATTACACTAACTGCTGGTCCCAAAATACTGAACACTTTTTTTTTTTTTTTTTTGAGAGGTTTTCGCTATAGGGTGCGTGCGCTCACCAGACAGAGAGAGGCATAGAGACAGAAATGAGAAATCACCCCCCAGGGGGGATGGTCACGCCGCAATCCCTTCTCCTCCATTCTTCTCTCGGGATCCCGGGCACGCACGCACATGCACCCAGTGTGTTTTAAGCCACC